TTTTTTTTTTTTGGGTTTGGTATTTGGGTTTGGATAATTTAGTGGGTTTTGGTTGGGTTTGGGCCTTGGTTTAAATTTGCTAGTGGGCTCAATAATGGGGTTTGGGCTAGATTGTGGATTTTGGTAGTTTTCATCCTCTGCCTTTCAATTTCTTTGATTGAGTCTTCTTTCTTGAGTTTCTTTTCCAATTTCTTCTTAGCTTTCTTTTTGCATGTAGTCCCTGAAACAAAAATAAAAATATAGATAGCTTAGTTAAATAAAAGGGGAAAATTCATATTTTTTATATTTTTGATTTTTTTTAATTTTATTGGATAAAAATTTGAGTTATGACAGTTGCCCCCTTTTTTTTTTGTTAAAAATGAAAAGAAAAAACAAGAATAACTCAAATTTTTAATGGCCTTTTTTTATATACAATTGAACAACTAATCAAGTAAAGTGACTGAACAAGTAAAGTAAAAATGGTTAGGAAACCACAACGATCGAATTGATCGAATGAGTGAGATAAAATGGCTAGAAAACCGCAACGATCGGATTACGAACAAATGAGATAAAACGGCTAGAAAGCCACAACAATCGGATTAACTGAATGAGAAAAGTAAAACGGCTAAAAGACAATTTTATAACCACTATGGTCGAATGATCGAACAAGCAAAGTACAAAAAATGGTTTTATAACCACAATGGTCAAATGACCGAACAAGCAAAGTGAAAACGGTTTTATAACTGCAAGTTGAGTAGCAACAGTTGTATAACCGAGCTAGAAATGGTTTTTTAACCAAGTAAAAAATGGTTTTTTGACCAAGTAGAAATGGTTTTTGAACCAAGCAAGAAACGGTTTTTTTTAACCGAGTAGAAACGGTTTTTTAACCGAGTGAGTCAAGTTGCTACGGTCAAACGACCGAGCTAGTTTTGAGTGGCTACAATCAAACGACCGAGTAAGTTGAGCAGAAACGGTTTTTTAACCGAGCAAGAAATGGTTTTTTAACCAAGTAAGAAACGGTTTTTTAACCGAGTAGAAATGGTTTTTGAACCACACAAGCAACGGTTTTTTAACCGAGAGAGAAATGGTTTTTGAACCAAGCAAGGAACGGTTTTTTTAACTGAATGAAAAATGGTTTTTGAACCAAGTAAGAAACGGTTTTTTAACCGAGTATAAATGGTTTTTGAACCAAGCAAGAAACGATTTTTTAACCAAGTGAGAAAATGGTTTTTTAACCAGGCAAGGAACGGTTTTTTTAACTAAATGAAAAATGGTTTTTGAACCAAGTAAGAAACGGTTTTTTAACCGAGTAGAAATGGTTTTTGAACCAAGTAAGAAACGGTTTTTTAACCGAGTAGAAATG